GAACAAAGGATTGAGTAAATGTATGAATGAGTGGATGCCTATATGAGTGAATTAATTAGGGACTGAACAAATGCATGGATAACTGAATGAACAGGTAAAGAAGGATTGAGAAAAATGAATCAGTGAATGAGTGGCGACTGAGTAGACAAGAATGAATGGTTAGGCATATGAATTAATGAATGAATGTGATCAAATGACTGACTGAGTGATTGCATGAATAAATTAATTATTAGAAACTGTCTAAATGACCAGTTGGCTGAGTGTGTGACTTCCACACCACAGGTACAGAGTGAAGGGGGCAGGAGGCTGTAGCCCCTTCAGGCAATTCTCCCCACCTCCCCCTGCTCTGCAGCAGGGCCCCTGGGTTTCTACCCATCAGGGCTGTTCCATTATGTATAGATACAAATAGGATTGCTGTGTTTCCTGTCTCGTTTACTCCTACACCAGAACCGTACCTGAACCATTGAAATGCAGATGTCAGTAAAATAACATATCTCTGGTGGCTTGTCTACCTGTCTCCCTTACTGCTGAGAAATAACTCGCAGCAGCGGGTTAAGCTGACAATAAACACAGGAATTGACTTCCGTGGGAATGAACTTGCTTGACTGTTGACAAAAATCTAAGGTGATGCCATCTTTGCTGGACTTGCTGATTGCTCAGGCGGCTGCCTGGCTGTGCATCTTTCTTTTGGGGCTATGGATGAGCGACAAAGGCTCCAGGCTGCTGAAAAATTCCCTGTCCTTGGGCTAAGAGGCAGGTCCTAGTGTCCTCCAAAGGTCTTGGCTTTTGTGGTGAGGATATGCTTTGTTATTCAGGCAGTGCTGTGAAATACAGGGGTCCTGGGGAGATTTCTGCCCTCTCTGCCCTCCTTGGGCAGCTGGCAAAGATCAAGCAAGAGGTGGCAGTTGTGGTGAGATGGGAAAAGGCAGCCTCTCTCCAAATCTCATCGAGGTACCCAAGAGCAAGTCACAGAGGGTCCCAGCAGCACTGTCTCTACACTGAGGATTGTGGTTAGGGCTGCAGCTTCCAGTCCCGCCAAACCTGCCCACTGCCGGGCAGTTGGAGGAGCTGAAGTAGGCAGGCTTCGGCAGAGGGCACTCAAGTCCTAGGAATCTGCACTCAGCAGCCGAATGCTTTGCTCAGTGGCTTCCCAGGGAAGCGGAGATCATGAATCTCAGTAACTCGAGCCCAGGGCCTCATCACTCACCGTGATTGTGGGGGGACTGAGAGCTGAGTGGATCAGTCTAAACAAAACACACACACAGGGGACGCATCCAAATGAGCCCGCTCGGCCACCATTGGGGGCCACCTTTCTTGCTGGCAGAAGCTGGGGAGGGACCTGAGCGGGGGACCAGGGCGGGGCTGGCAATCTGGCTCCTTCTTAGGAGCTCTACCCTCACCCCACCTGTGAGCCGGTGGGAGACATGAATCTCGCTGGCAGCGACTTGGGCCAGCTCAGCCGTTTTAGGGGATGTTAATGAAATGCGGGAGCACTTGTCCTTTCAGACAGCGGCCCCTTTTATTTGGGAATGAAAAGCTGCATTAGTCTGAATGAGGTTTGGAGGCCTCATAAATCCAGCACTGGCTGCCTCGTGGGGGAGTGGGGAGCCGAAGCCTGGCTGGTGGGTTAGACTTGTTTACCAACAATGCAAAAAGCCAGGATTGGTGGCTCCCCATCCCCAGAGATGTGGCTTGAGATCCTGCCAGCCCTAGTGCTTGCTGGCAGCACAGGACTGGAGAGAGAGCTGCAGGGTTCTCTTCATGAATTAGGGACCACTGAGGTCCCCAGCCGATCCCAGGAAAGAGCCCTATCCTACTTTACCCTCGGTCTTTCCACAGGCGGGCTGAAGAATCCAGCTGCCTCCACAGAGGGAGGAGGGTCTTGTCTAGAGACTGCTCCACTCAGTCCAGGTGGTGTCCGACAGAGGTAATCTGAAAGCCAGCAGTTGGGTGGGCTTTTGTGTGAACCCTGGCTCCTCACCCAGTGTCTGGCAAACAGCAATGCCGATAAATACTAGCAGCATGCTTTTGCATTCCTTAACCCCTCTGAGGTTCAGAGTCTATCCGTAAAATGGAAAAATAATAAAATCCTTTTAGGGTCAGTTGAGGGAAGGACTGGGTAAGGTGATACAGGCAAGGTAGTGAAGGTCTTGTCTGGAATGTAAAAAGCTTGTAGTCTTGATGATCATTGCTGGTTCTGTTGTTTTGGTGATGCATCCCATCCTCCCCCAGAACGGGAGGGAGCAGGCTGCTGCAAGTGTGGGGAAGCAAGCCCCTGTTATAAAATGGCTCACAGCTGGGTCAGGACGGAGGTCTGGTCCTGGGTTGGGGATAGCAGCTTCCCTCTGAGCCCAGGGTTCCCGCTGGGCTCGCAAGCCTAATGACTGAGCCCTAGCCTCTGCAGCTGGGAGGCCCCGTTCCCACCGCAGCCCAGTGGCCACAGAGAAAAGCCTCCATGCGTATCACTGCATTGCTGGGGGAATTCCTGCCCACTCTGGGATGCAGGGGAGCAGGCCAGCCTGCGCTGCTTCCTGGGGGTGGTGAGGGGCCCAGAGCCACACTCTGTCCCTGGAACAGAGCTACCAGAGTCCCCCCTGCCTTTATTCACCACTGTTTTTAGTGTTTTGGGAACCCCCTCCTCCTGTAGTTCCCTAGCCTTTATCTTTCCCTTCTGCTGGCCAAAGAATTGCTCTTCTGTGGCCACATCTCTACCTCCTGCTTCTTCCGTTTCCTGCCTGGCCACTTGTTCAGGTCCCCTGCCTCCTCACATCAGGGCGCTGCCTGCAGGACAATCTAGACAGAATTAGCACCAAAGCTCTGCCTTCTTCACCTCATGCCCTAACCAGCCCGGGACACTACAGCCCATGCCTTTTTAATCCTGTATCCTTGTCCTGAGTTCAGGTTCCTTTTCATTTCTCCATCAAGGCACTGGAATTTTCTTCCCTAGAGAATAGTCAGGCTTTTGGTTCCTTAGGAGTAACCAAGCCCAGTTGTGGAAGCTGGGGGGAAGGGGAGCCTTAGAGAGTGATGCCTTCTGCCCCCTTATCTTGTACTGATTCTTTGCTGGGTCCACTGGGGCCCTTACTGTCTATCAGAAGGTGGTAGCTGCCACTTCTCTCTGGTCTGCATGCCCTTCTCTCTGGTCCCTCAGGCAACACGTTCCAGTGGCTGCTTGGGAAACCAGCTGCTCCTGATGGAGGGTGAGGGTAAGGGAGGCAAAGACAGACACCCCATAACCTCCACTTACCAGCAGGTCATTCATGGTGTCCTGGGGCCAGGGCACGGCACTCTTGCCTCTCCTGGGGAGCACCCCTCCCCCAAGCCTTCTCCTCCTATGTCCAGTGGCCTCTGCTTTCCGTGGGAGGGAGTCCCCTCCTAATTGGCAGGACTGGCCATACTTCAGCATCACATCCCCACACAATGCCACGCTCCCTTGCGCCCAGACAGGGAGGGAAAGAAAAGATGGCAAATTAACAGGCGGGTTAGAGCTAGATTCGTGGTATACTTGTAAGAAAATTAAAGATTTGTTCTTCAGATGTTGGGGGCCATGCTCTTACCAGACAGCTGGCAAATGGAAGAGATTAGAAATGATGGAATAGATCAAATTATTTAAATGAGAAAAATAAATTCACACGCAACCTAGTCGCTGCCTGGTGACAGATCCGTTTATTTATCTACTGTATCTGCACCGCTTTGTCTCTGTCAAAAAGGTCATTAAACTCGCCTAACTGCGTAATTCGCAGCCTCCTGCTCCAGCCTCGCTCCACAGCCCTTCTCTTCCCTCGATACTCAGCGCACCTTGGAAAAAAATTATTATTGCTAATAAACAACATTTTTAACCCTTGCAGCCTGCTCTCTGGCCGGTCATACTAGGTCCTAGGGGAAATTCCAGTTTCTCTTTTGTTTCTCAGGAGGAACTGGGGAGGGACTTTAGCCCCTACTGCCCAGTTGGGGAAAAGGGTTGAGAGACGCGGGCCCCAACAGACAGGAGGATGGGGATCCGAGGATTTAGCGGTGTCACTCCGCAGCCCGAGTGTGCGGTGCAGGATGCGATGCGCGGTCAAGCCCAGGCTTCTGTGCAGAGGGTCCAGCCGGGTCTCTCCCATCCCTTCTAGTTCCCGCAGCGCTCCTCGCCCCAGTTTGGACAGTTTTCTGTGAATGCTCTCTCCCCCAGCCCCCATCCTCCAGCCCCAGCCCGGCTTTCCCCCAAGAAATGCGACTGTGGAGGGACACCAGTCCCTGGGTCAGTGTCCGGACGCCGCCGCCGTCCAGCAGCGCAGGCCGCGTGGAAGCGGAAAAGCGAGACACCGCAGACGGCGGGCTGCGGTCCCGCTGCCGCCGCGGGCGCGTCTCCTCCAGCTGGTCGGGCCTCTGGGCTGCCGAGTCTCCCAGCTCGCGGTGCCAGTTCTCGCGCTCCACGCCTGGCTCCCGGGCTCGGTGCCCTCGTAGTCGAAGGGACTGGGGGCGGTAGGGCGGATGGGGGCGACAGGGCGGATGGGGACGTCTGGAAAGCAGCAGAGTCCTAGTCCTCTGGGCGTCCCCTCAAAGCGGGTCCGGGGTCCCCTTCCCCGCCCCCTGCGCAGGTGTGAGCGCGCGAGTGTGCGCCTCGGCGAGTGTGAGCGTGAAGTGTGTGCGCGGGGGAGTGCGCGGAGGGAGCGCGGGCGGCGCGGGCGGCGGGAGGCAGGGCGCGGGGAGGGGGCTGGGAGGGAGTGTGTGCGCGCGTGCAACTCCACTCCGGGGCTTTGTGCGAGCCCGGGCGATAGCATCGGCGGCGGCTGGAGGAGGAGCGGCCGGAGACGCGTGCAGCCCGCCCGCCAGCGCCCCGCAGCCGGGGCAGGTGGGAGCCTGTGCGGGAGCCGAGCCGACGCGAGCCGGAGCCGAGTCCGAGCGGAGCCCGGGCGGAGCCCAGGAGCCTTGCTCGCGGGCTGCCCGTGGGCGGCAGCCGGGCGGGGCGGGCGCCGGCAGGGCGGCCCCCCAGTAAGATGTGCGCAGCGCCGCGGGGCGCCCCCCACTCGCAGCGGCGCTCCGGAGCCCGGCGGCTGGGCCAGGCGGCGCCTCGGGGGCTGCTGCGCGCCCGCGCCTAGAGCTGCCGCCCCGGGGAGCCCGCCACGGCCGCGCCCCGGGCACGCTCGGCGGCGCCCAACGATGACCGCTCCCTGGCGGCGCCTCCGGAGTCTGGTTTGGGAATACTGGGCCGGGCTCCTCGTGTGCGCCTTCTGGATCCCAGACTCGCGCGGGATGCCGCACGTCATCCGGATCGGTAAGGGCTCCCTGGAGCCGGGAGGGGTCTCCTGGCGCTCGGGCGGGGGCGGGAACGGGGGTCTCAGCACGCAATCCCCGGAGATTTTCTTCCCACTCTCTCTCGGGGCCGCCGGGGCCGGATAGATATCAGGAGCTCCTCCCGGGGATGAGGACAAAGTTCCAAAGCCGGGGTCACAGGCCTTACTCCCTGGGGAGGAGGCCACCGAGCCGCGGTGGGCGAGGGGCCCTTGGCTGCTCCCGGGAGGTCAGACCCGGGGCAGGGTGGCGCGCGGTTCCGATTCCAACCGGAGAATTTCGCGGCGACTGCCAGCTGGCCTGGGCCGCAGACCGAGTTCTGGGACCCGGCTTCTCCGCGGAGCGGGAGCCCTGGGGAAGGCGCCAACTTCGCTCCTCTCCCCTGCTCGCTCCTCGCGGCCCCGCGGCCCCACTTCGGGCGCAGTTCTAGCAGCGGCAGTGGGTGCCCAGCATACGGATTCGCAAGACGAAGGCGACAGTGTCTTCTTGCCCGGGGACTGCTCCCGGTCTAGGCGGCCCTTTTCATACCGGGCGGGGACGAGAGAGGGGCACCTCCCCCGCTGGTCACTCCAGCCCGTCTCTGAACACCCGAGGCAACGAAGTGGAGGGAAGGGAGTGACAGAGGTGGTCCAGCGCAGCCGGGGAAGGCGGCCGAGGGATGCGAGCGGTTTTCAAAGTTAGCCGAAATCCCTCCGCAGCTGGCGGCGGCCGCGGGTCTGCGCGTGCCTTTCTGAGGCTCGGGCTGCTCGAGTCTCTTCTCATCCGAGACTTACTGTTACTTGGGGCTTTAACTTTGTTGTGGCCGCTCAAGATATCCCGTGGGCAGCGCTCTGGGCTGTGCAGGTGGCCATGCGTATCCAGCTCACCGACCGCAGGGCTGGGCCCGGCAGGGCCACGCAGGAGCCTGCGTTACTGGAGCGCTAAGCCTGCCACCAAGGCCAGAGACCTGGGCCGCCTGGGTTCGTGAGGCACCACCGCCAGCATCCGGCACACGGCAGCCAGAGCTGTGCCCAGCCAGGGCCACCTTTCTGCTCTGTGGCACTTCTCCAGGTGCGGCGTCAGGGTTGCCAGCCTTGTGAAAGGGGATGCAGGAACGGATGTCAGGCTTGACTTCCATACTTGAGGCTTTCCTACGTGGTGATCAACAACCCTTAGAGGGTCTGTCTCCTCCCTGGTTGCCCTCCACTTACCAGATTCTCTTGAACTTGACACCAGGAAAATGGGGCCAGAGTACAGTCCTTAGGTCTGTCAGCGCTGGGGTCTTTCAATCTGTGCTCCAGGCCCCTGGCAGGTAGAGGGAGGCTGAGCAGGCCAAGCCCTGGGGGGGGGGGGACTCTGGGGACAACCCTTGCGGTCAGGCTTAACCCTTTGCAAGCCAGCTTGCTTCTGGCAAGCTGAAAATGCTTCCCCAGAACCCAGCATGGTCACCATTCCAGGGACAGGCAGCTCTTTAATAGTGGATAAGTACTTCCTCTATTTCTTCTCTCCTCTCTTCTGCTTTTGGGGGACCTGCATGGTAGAGTATCCTTGAGAGAGAAAACAGTGACCCTAAAGGCCTTCTGTGTCCATCCCTTGCTTTGCAGGTCCCTCCTCCTTGATCCTTCTTCCCCAAGGGTGAGAGGGTATGCTCTCAGCCCAGTTTCAGGGATAGAAATCTTGGAGGCCCAGAGAGATAGGAGCAGGTGAGGGCAACCTGAGAGGGAGGTGCTGCAAGGGGGGAGGATGATGTGTTCTTACTTTTCTGTTCTCATGTGAAATTGGATGGGGTTGGGGGTGCCTCATGGCTTTGAGTAGAAGCCTGTCTCCAAACCTGCTGTCCTTCCTTGGGTTCAGCATGGAATAATGTAATTAAAGAATGACAGAGTCTCCTTTTTTCTAATCATCTTCATATTAAGCCCCACGATTAATTATTGTGTCAGTCTAGGCCATTTATATCCAGGAACCCTGCTCCATTTGATTCCCAGTCCAAGGACTGGGGTGCTGTACTGATGCCAAACGTGACCGCTGGAACTGTGCCAGCCTAGGTGTAGAATGGCAAGGCTCCAGGATCTCTAGACTTCTCTGGAGTGGCCTGGGGAGCTGAGCTTCAATTCTTCTGATCTCATGCATGCACCCCACCTGGAACCTGGGAAGCTATGATGAATGTGGCACAGAGAGTGAGAGAGAGAAGAGAGAAAGAGGGAGAGGGAAAGAGAGACTCTCCTGCTGAAACCCAAACACACAGCCTTGGCTGGGCCCTATACCATCTTCGTTTCCCACCCTTCCCCCTCCTGGTATCTGAGGGCTCTGGCTGGAGCTTTAGGAATCAGAAATCAAGATCCCTTAAACTGCGCTCTGGAGCATGCTGGGTGCTTCTGGTTCTCAAGATTGGTGCTGGGGTTGGCTGAGCTTGGAGCTGAATCTTTCTCTATCTAGCAGCCAGGAGTCGCTGAGCACTGGCCCGGGGAGGGTTTACCTGCAGGTGCAAGACAGGCTTTCTGGGCTGGGGAGCACTGTTCTGCTCCCTCTCTTTGTACCTCTTTTGGGGGCTGAAATTTCCTCTTAGACAAGGAGATGGATAGCTCAGCAGTGTGACAGAGTGTTCAAACAATCCATCTTGAATAGATGAATTGCATTGCTCTGTCTTTTTGTAATTGTGTCTATCAGAGGGAGAGGTCAAGGCATTGATTGCTTGGATGGTTTGCAAGTAACAAAGGAGAGTGAGGGAGAGAGAGTAATTGGATTGTAGTCTGCGGGGAAAAAAATGATCATTGATTATTTTATATGAATATGTGGAAGATCTATTCTGTGTGTGATTATCAAGCTTTGGTCTTTGAAGGTTTGCAAGGCATATTGTTCAGCATTTTATTATTATTATCATTGTTATTATCATTTGGATGGATCCTGGTCTTAACTTGTGAAAAACAGTTTGCTGCAGGGTTTTGTGGGGATTTTTGTTTTGTTGTGTTTTTGTTTTTTTGCCAAATGGACTTCTGTAACCTGTGGGAACATGCATTTTTAGGTTACATGACCTAGAACTGGGCTTAGAGGAAAGAGGCCCAGCTTTTCTGCTTTACCTGCTGCCAGTTATCAGGACTATTTTGATCAAATCACACTCTCCTTGCTACCTTGATCCTCAGTTTCTCTATCTGTAAACAGTTTGGTTAACCTTCATGGATGTTACTGCATGGATTCAAAGTTTCCATTAACACAAGCTGAAAGAAACTGTTAGTGTCGTTGTAGGTTTCACGATTAGCTCTTCCCTTGGATTACAGACATACTTTAATCCCATACATTGTGAGTTAACCTGGAATTTGAAAAAGGAAGCGCCACAAAGTGGTGGTGGCAGCTGGGGAAGCCTGGCCAGTCTTCTGTGTGATGAGAAGCTTGGGTGGATTGTGATGATCTCCAGCCAATCAGTGGAGAGGTTCAAAGCCAAATGACTGCAGAGACATAAAGCAGGTGTGTGTGTATATATGGGGGCTGGGGTGGGAGAAAGGGGCTGGTCCAGCTTTGGAGTATTTAGAGCAGAGCTAACTGCAAGGTCCTGAGCTTCCTTACTATACAGGAGCCCAAAGGACAAGACCAGCCTTTCCCTGGGGAATGAGGCCCTCTCCCCCAGAATCCCTAAACTAGCCCCATCTGGGACTCCTCTGATCACTTCTTGAGTTTAGGAGCCACTGCATGTAAAACAATGAGAAATTTCTCAGTGACTGGTGATGCACTGAAACATCGCTGCTGCGGCAGAGGAACAGACAGCAGCTGAATGAAGATCAATAGGGTTTTTCCCCCTGGAAGTAAATAGCTTCAGACAAGACCTGGGAGTGGCCCGAGGGGCCTTAGAAAGCATTAACTTAAGGAATTTCTGCCTTCACTTTTCAGCCCAGCTGCTCCTGTCAGCCAGGGCTTTCCTCTTTCTCCACCTGGAGTTTAATTTCTTCCTGATGCTTTCTCACGTTGTGCTAAATCGTCCTTTGATATCAAGATGACCTGGGGTTTGTGAGTGGTTAATGCAGGATAAGCCAGGTACCCCAGCCTCACTAAGCTTTTCCAAGGTCACCTGCACCCCCCTGCAGCTGGGTATGACATTGGGCTGAGTTCCGAAGCCCAGCCCACCCTGCTGTGTTGAAAGGACTTAGAGGGACTGCTTTTCATGTCCCTGCCCCTCTAGGAATGCAAGAATGCCCGACTGCTGTAAGGATCCTTTGTGGGGCAATGAGCCACCTCCCTCATTTCCCACGCTCAGGCAGGCACTGTCCCAGACCTAGGAAACAGCTTCCTGATCCAGGGCATGGAAACGATGCACCATGCACAAATGCCTCCACCCCGTGGGCATGAGAACTACTCTTTCTCTGGGGGAGGGACAAGAAGTAAGCAGGAGAGGCTATGGGCAGCATGGGGTGGTCTTTTATGGGGAGATCTGTTTGTGCTTAGCAGCTGGGGCTGTGCTTCTGATCCACTGAGGCCAAGCCTCTTCCAGCCTGTCACAGTCAGCTGCCCCTGCTTCTTCCTCCCACAGCTGCAGATGCAGCTCCTCCCTGCCTGCTCAGGATCCTCTAGAGCTGATACTTTGCTGCACTGGGTAGTGCAGGGGAGTGGGGAGCTCCCCAGTCTGTGCCTCGCCATGGAGAGAACTGATGCTCCAAGAGCAGGGGCTTCTCTGGGGCCAGCACCCTTCAACCCTGGCTTGTCTTCCTGAGACTGGTGTGGTGGGCTGGAGCTCTGAATGGACAGATATGCTAAGGGCCTCGTGTAGAAACAGACCAAATGCAGATGGAGCTGGCATTCTGGCCTTGGACTTGTTTCTTGGGGTTGTTTTTCTCCCAGGCACTGATTCCTCAGCAGCAGCACCAGAGGGCAGTGTGCCTGTGCTGAGATGGTCATCTTCCTGGGGCCCCACCTGGGTCAGGAGCAAAATCAAAATAATAAAGCAATATCACAACCCCAATATACTGAGCATTTATTAGCTGCCACACTCTGTCCTGTGTTTTCAGTGACAAGTAG